TAACAGAAATGTACATGGGTGCAAAATTATTAGCACACATTTATGTGCAGCCTCATTAATAAATAGATCATCATACCTAATGAAGTTGCAGAAAAAACAACACATAAAAAATTCTGATTGGATTTCAGATTACTTTATATAGTAGAAATGGTGCTGTTTATATAGATTATTTGGTATGCTCTGTAGACTTTTAATGGTTTGTGGTAATTTCAGAAGTTCAAAGTTTACGTACATGCATTTTTTCTTATTTTGCTCCTTTAGACCTTTCCAGCTGAAAGGGAATTTCTTAGGATGTTAAAAAACACTGACTTATTTCAACACACAGTTTTCCTGCATAATCAAACTTTTACTTAAAAAACAATATAAATACTCAAAATGCAATTTCACTTGGGACAGGACTGATATAAACCATCAAATGAATAAACCCTAAAAGGCAACAATTAAAATTTACCCATTAAGAAAAGGTAACAATTCACACTGCTTTGATCAAATTCACATTCATTTCAATAATTAAAGTGTATCTAATGTCAGTAGCTGTGAAACACAGATAGAAATTAGGTGACATCTTTTTTTCACAATACATTTCAATTCTACACCCTTAAAAAACTTCACAGTACAGAAAGGCAGAAGGACTGATTAAACCCAAACTGCCCAAAGTATTACAAGGGATGTATATTTCACAATCACAATAGCAGCTTTTGATGATTAAAAGAAAAACATAATTATGATGTTTTAAATACAGTTAGTTTTAATAAATGTCACATAAAGTTTGAACATTGCTCTGTTGTATTGTTTTATTTTACTCTTTTCCTGAATGGTGCTGCAGAGCAGTTACTTCCTGGGACAGTAACACATTGCGAGATACAGCCTTTTATCAGATAATTTTATTGTGGACTAACTACTTTTAGCAAAAAAGGTAGATTTTATCCCTAACTGTTAGCCTGCCCAGAAACAACATTAAATATTTTTGATTATCTGGTGTGTGACATGAAAAAAACCTGAAAGGAGATAGCGTCTTTTAGAGTTAACAAAAGGTTTTTAGACCTAAAGCTTGGTGACGTTCTGCTTTACTTCAAATAGTTTGGATATTCACACAAATTGGAATAAACAAATGAGAGGCGTGATTAACCTCACTCCCTTTAAAACAGAGGTAAACTCAAGAACTTTTTGATTAAAACATGAAAATGCTTGGATTTTCTAACAAGACAAAAATCACAAACAAACATCCACAATGATTTGGATAGATAAAGCTGATTAAGTAAAGCTTCTGTTACGGCAATAGAAATACTTTTGCTCACATTTTTATTGTTTTTGATATAGTTGAGTTTAATCCTGCAAAACCATAGCATCTCAGAAAACTACCGTATTTTCCAGACTATAGGGCGCAGCTCATTAAAAGCCCCGCCCATTAACTTTTTGGAAAAAAATGGAAAAGTACATATTTAAGCCATGTCGAGGCTATAAGCCACTGATATCTACTGAACTGTCTCCCACCAATCCTTTAGGGAGCTCTACATATAGCTACTAGATTAGGGACGAAGATGAATACTAGCTCCTGTTTGGTTGTTGGCTCGCAGCAGTAAGAGCTTCTAATGAAAGATGGGGCTAAATCAGCTCTTTATTTCCGCTCTGTGTAGTTGAGCCCAGTGTCTTCATTGGTTCGGCGGCTTTAATGCAGCAAATAAATGTCAAAATGTGTGAATTCTGTACCTTTGTTCTCTGTCATGCATGATGCTTGCATGTTTGTGTGCTAAATAAAAAAATTAGCCTCTTATTCTTTAATTTCCAACTTTGACTTACCCCTCTGGCAGTTAGGAAAAATTCACAGAAAAGCCGCACCTTCTTGTAAACCGCTTGGTTCATATCTGGGGAAAAGTAGTGGCTTATAGTCCAAAAAATACGGTAATGCATAATTATGATATTTATACCAATCTTTAGTAGAAACTTCTCACCAGCACTGACAAAGTGACGAGCATTTTTAACACTTTGAAATACCACTAACTACAGTTCATAAATGTAAGATATTAATTTAAAATAAGTCAAAACCCTTTAATTGAATACTAAAAACAGTATATGATTTATAATCAAGTTTTGTTATTATTGTAATGATACACATTCTTCATGAGCTGATATAATATCCAAATCCAGCTGTCGCTGCTGATGTCCTTCATAAGGATCACCTGATCTTGGTGCTTTAGGTCAAATTAATGTAACACACAGAGGGCCTCGCTTATCTGTTATTCACCAGATACAGCTCCAGCTGCTGTGCTCCACCCACCTGATGGATGAGCTAAAGAGTGGTGCCATTAGCTGTGAACACACCAGGGCAGGCTCACCATGAGCTTTAACATGGATGATTTATGCCACTACAGCCTCCCTTCATGCTGTTTGCATGTGTCATCAGGTCGGGTAATCCTCTGGCCAAACTTCACGGCTCTTCCATCCTGGAGAGACACCATCTGGAGTTCGGCAAGACTTTATTGAGGGATGAGGTATGTTGGTGTATGATCGTGATTGTTGACCCTGGGTAACCTGTAAATTATGCGTCTATGAAGTTATAATTTTAACATTTTGCCTAAGCAATTACTTTTGTTTTATTGTTTGCAAATTCTGTTCCGGGTTAAAAGGGCTTGTTAACTTATATTGTCATATATTGTATATATAATATTACACCAGTAATTGATTGCCATCCTCTTTTATTTCACATACCACCTTGAACTATGCTTTGGTACCGATATTTGTTGTGACGTCTGCTGTTGTGTTTCAGGCCCTGAACATTTATCAGAATCTGAACCGCCGCCAGCATGACCTCGTCATCCACCTCATGGATATCGCAATCATCGCCACAGACTTGGCTCTCTATTTCAAGTCAGTACAAACTGTTATCCTAAATAACACTTACTGTACTAGCAAGAACCCCAGATGCAATAATATATGACAAAAAAATGAAAATAAAATGTCAAACCGTTGCAAAACTATAGAACAAGTCTACCCTGGGCCATTTAGAGTTATTTACAAAACTTCAAAGAGTGGAGTTTAAGCTTTCCTACAATGTCAAAGTTGATGAAATCAAGAAATTTAATTAGATATGAGCAAAAAGTTGCTAAAAGTTGGCCTGAACCACTATCGTAAATTTGATCTATCAATGCTGCAGCAGTAGTTGTTTAATAATGGGTTTCAACTGCATGTAAACCTGTTGTGTCTGGAGGAATTGTAGCATTTGAGTGGCTTTAAGTTTTTATTTTAAACAGAAATCTGAATTTTCATGTTCATTTTTGTCTAAGTTTCTTTATAATCTATAATTATTTGAGGAAATCAGCATTCCTTACATCCTAACTATGAGAGGTGTTGTTTTGTTCCTCTGCAGAAAGAGAACAATGTTCCAGAAGATTGTTGACCAATCAAAAACCTACGAGAACTGGAATGATTGGACCAAATACATGATGCTTGAGACCACCCGCAAGGAGATTGTCATGTACGTAGAAACGCACTGAAGGCAACTTTAACAGAGACAAAAAGAGTTTTACCATTTGTCTTCTGTTTGCAGGGCCATGATGATGACTGCATGCGATCTCTCTGCCATTGCTAAACCTTGGGAGATCCAGAGCAAGGTAGGTCTTTTAGGGTCATAGGCATGACATCATTCTCCAGTGAAGCTTAGAACTGTCTTTGAACGGTGAAAAAACTCACACACTCAGCCTGAAACTTAGCAAGATCCAAAGATAAAGTAGTAAACGTTCCGTATTTTGTCAGCTCCACCATTTTTCTCAGCAGCGTTCAGCAGTGGTTCCTGATGGCCTCATGCATCAAAAGGCAACCTGCTGCTTTTCATTCTCCTCATCACCTCCTGCCAGACTCAGCATCTTATTTTAGTGAAATATGTAATAGGCACACACACATTGCCTCCCAGCCGGCGGGAGCTGCTTATCAACATGAACAGCAAGCATATCTGGCCACTCAACAGCCACTGCTTAATGGTCATTCTTCACCTTTATTTGGCTATAAAAGCCTCACAAAATGTGCCTATTTTTTTAGCAACACCTACATTGTAAAATGTAAACACAGACTAAAGTTTTATGGCAAATGCATCAGTGCTGCATCTAAAGAAAATAAGGTGGTCTCGTAAAGTATTGATATGGTTCAATTACAATTTAAAAATAGATGCTTTACATGCCTGACATATAAAAAGCCTCACAGTCTGTGTTTATCACTGTCTGACATGGCATCACAATCACGTCTGTATACACAGAGGTTACTATTCTTTTTGGCTTTTATACCTTATAAGACTCAGAACATTGAGTTAAGTAAGCTAACTCAAGCATTCTGATTCTAGATGCTTCAATAAGGAAAAAGAAACTCACAATTACCATAACCTGAAGGTGTTCCCTTCATCTGTTCAAACAGGAGCAATAAGTAATATATTTACTGTAAATTGTCTGGAGGAAGGGTTGTAATCAAAAAGAGTAGCCTGAGAGGTTTTACTCATTTTTTTTTATTTTTACAAGTTTTCCAAACTTTCCATTGCAAGGCTTCCTTGGAATTTTTATTTTTTCCAATTCTTTCTTTCTTTGCGTTCGGGCTTAAGACCTTTTGACCTTTTTTGGCCCTTTTTCATTCATTCCTTCCTTTTTTTTTGTTAACTTTTCCCCTTTACCCCGGGAACCAAAGGAAAGGAAAAACAAACCACAACCAAAATCCCCAACAATAAACCAACCCCAAATTGACCCAAAATGGAAAAGGCTGAAGCAAAGCTTATTCTTGCCTACTCTGTTTTAATACATTACATTGTACCAGGATATCTTCACAATACATATATAAATCTACATGACAGTGTAAGATTTTATTATTTTACATTTTAAAGCTCTTTTAGGTACCATTGTTGCTGAATACCTTCCTATAAACCTTAAAACATCTTAATTGTTAATATGAGTTCAAAAGATACTTTCAAAAGTCTAACCAATTTCATCTACTTATGTGAAAATATACTTATTATGTGGGAATGTGGAAGCAGCACAAATGGGCCTTGTTTGAGATCACTGTTTGATATAAGCAAAAAAGCACTTAAATGGAGAGGGAATCCCATTTGTCAAATAAGTTCAGATGTAAAAAATAATTACCACACATGCTGTTTCTGCCACCTCGGGCGTCCTGCATGTAGCATTGGTATCACACTATCCTGCCAATGGCTCTAGAGCACATAAACAATCGCTAATTCTAGTTGACATCCCGTAAAGTAAGTAAAACTTAAATGAAAACTTAAATGATTACAAAACATTTATGAAAACCTCCATCCATCATTGATCTGTGGTCCAAGTAGCTTGCTAATTTCCTATTTGCAACAAAAAGGCGGAGCATCAATATACGGTATGATAACATTAGCTTTGTATGACCTTGTAATGAAACAGGTCTAATTCGCATTTTATTTTTTTCAGATTTTATAAAGTTTGGTCAAAATTCGGATTACCTTTAGATGGAAATATGGCTCTTCTTTGGGAGAGGTGTTCAAAAAGGCAAGAGAGGAGAACATTTCCATCTATTTTTGGCAGGGGGAATGGGCCAAACTTTAGAAAAACTAAATGAGAAAGGCATATTTGATCCAAAAGCAGTGGTAGTGTATTTAATCACAATCAGAACTAGCTTCATGCTGTAGGCCATGATTGTGCAGATAAATCAATATGTGTATTTGTTTACGTTCTGCCTTAATTGCACATAGATGCTAGTGAAGCATCTCAGTTATCCAGGTCATAGTCATTCCAAAAAAAAAAAAAAAAACAGTCCACTGGACTTTGTTTGCAAGTTTGAAGACATTTCGCTTCCTATTCAGGAAGCTTTTTTAGTTGAAAATGTCAGAGATAGCGTTGAGTTTGAGGCTCTTATACATGTGTCCAGCCCTTTGGAATGGGGACGTTTGGCTTCTTTTATTAGCCTGCAATGCATCATACCTGTCTATGTCTCTGAAAGGGGTGTGGTTAAAGGGAATTGTTGGTCTTGCTGAATAGATGAGGTCTTCTGATCCCCTCTGTAGGGGTTGGGATTGCGATGATAGCGGAAAGGGATCAATTAAATTGCTGCATTGTAGGTTTTTGAAAGCTGAAAATTTCTGACATTTTGAATTGAAAAAGCTTCCTGCGTGTGAAGTGAAACATCTTCAAACTTGGAAACAAAGTCCAGTGGACTGTTTTTTTTTATTACTTTTTTGAATCGCAAATACATATTAACAATACATTTTCTTACTGAAGAAGAGGATAAAACTGAATTTGGTTCAGTTTCTGTTCATCAGAATGACAGTCTGGAGGAAGAAACTGTTTCTGTGAAGTCCTTAAGGTCACTGCTGCTTCTGGTCTACAGCGCTGACCTGAAGGTGAAATCCAAACAACGTGTGTCCAGACCAGGAGATGTGGAGTCTGCAGGGATATTAACTGGCCTTTTTCTGGCCCTAGATCTGTGCAAGTCCTTGATGGAGGGAAGGTTAGACCTGAAAATCTTGGCTGCATACCTGATTGTTCGTAATCTGTAGTCGGTCCTGTCAAATGGTGCGGCTAAACCAAATCGCTCAGTGATCAATAAAAACAGGAGAACAAACTCCTCGTTTATTTAATAAGGAGTAGAAAACAAAACAGCTTCAGATAAAGAAAATAAACTGCCAAAGCTAAAATGACAGATATTTTTTCTCTGAGTCTTGAGGATTATTGTTGATTTAATATAGAAGCATAATAAACATCAAATCTAATTATAAAATCTAATTATTTACCAAACTTCAATACTGTGAAGCTAGATTGTTTTTAGGAGCAATGCTGTCAATGTTTTTAAAACACCAACTGGTTCAGAACAAGAACATTGTTTATTCAGATTTATCTGAAGCACAAACTATGCAGCCTCATCCAAGTCGGTGTTTATACTCTCATTATTGTGCCTCATCTCCCTCAGTGAAACTGAAATCTGCAGCATCACCTTCAGAACCTCCACTGACTGTTGATGAGGAAAACATTTTTAGACCGATGTTAACAGTGGAGCTGAAACCTTTTATGAAATTGTTTGTCATGAAGCACAGAACACTGATGCGAAGAATGTGACTCATTTCTTGGTTAACTTTGTGTGGATTTTTATTGGCATTATTAAATCTTCTTTAGTCAAACCCTTATTGAAAACTATAAACAGCCCCTCTACGATTATCACTTTATGAAATGGTTGTCAGACGATAAAAGGCAATAGATAAATCATAAATACTCCCACCACATTTAGAACCATCTCTCAGGGGCATTTTTACCTATTTTATTTTCACATTTTGCAGCACAATGTAAGGCATTGCAAAGCTTTAATAAAACCTGTGACAACTGTAAGCCATTAGGTTTTAGATACAGTGCCCTAAAAAAAGCATTTACCTGATAAATTTATAAACATTTATGTTTCAGATCATTAAATACATTTTATAACGCGACCAAATGATAGCAATCCGAACACACCTTGATTGTTAAATCAGGGATTAACTGTGATTAATTAGATTTCAGCTGGTTCAGTTTCACCAGCCAATAGACGCATTAGTCTTGCATTGAATATATATATATGTGTATATATATATATATATATATATATATATATATATATATATATATATATATATATATATATATATATACAAAATTCTCTGATGAACAGTTTTAAAAAAAAATCTAAAAGATTCACAGCAACTTGTCTCAAACATTTGACAGCAGATGTTGTGGCCAAAGGTGGCACAAGAAGTTATATAATTCATCTGGACAAATACCTTTTCACAGCCAGGCATATCCATCTCCAGTCACACAATCACATTCCTCAATAAAACTACATATGGCGACTGCTAGTGTGTCACAGTCATGAAATGGTCAACTGCTTTGTTGACTCTCTTCTGTCAGATAACCTATTCATGCAGTAAACAAACAACAGCATGCTCCCTTGCATTTCCAGGTAATAGCATGTAGGTAGAATGAAAAAAAGTGCTTTAGAAAAAGCCCCCCCCCCCTCACATTTAACAGCCCTTTTCTCCCTAACAACAAACATTTCTTATAACAAAGCAAACAGTACAGATTGTCTTTTTTCACCATTTTGTTTAAAAACTGTAGATTTGTCAGCTACGTACATATAACATGTGTAACTTATTATATATGCATTACGTTGTGATGTTGAGCTAGGACAAGAGAACAGAGTTTATTTCAAATTTAAACATTTATTTTAAATTGCTCTGATATCAGTTAGGCTATTACCTAAATCAAAACTTCACACTGACAGCACACAGTTCAGTTCATAATACTGCTTTAAAGACAAAACCCTAAACTGCTGTGCCTTGTGTGAGAAATTCTGCTGTTGTTGTATCTCCTGGTGTTTTATACTTTTCATCCGGTTCTGGATTAATAGCACAGTGTCTCTGTACAAGCCTTGTAGCAATTGTTCCCTCAGAACTGGCTTGATGACTAACTCTTTTGCTCTGTGCTGAATAGAGAATTTACATTTTATTCAACAGATCTCGCTCTGCAGAGTTTTTTGCTTTGCGAGGGCAGATAATATGGGCTTTCATTTCATCAAAGACACAAAGCCAGAAAAATGCCTCGTGATCTGCAAATCCACTTCTCATTTTGGGCTGTTGGAAAAGCTGTAAAGGAGGATCTGAACAAAGTGGAGGGAAGAATGTGTCATATCATCTTTGTAAAACTCCTGCTTAGTTTACAGTTTTTTATTTACCCTGAATATAAAATTACTTAATATCTTTATTTAAATCAAAACTTTTATTCCTCGATTCAGATATTGAAATTAGACTACTTTTGTGATTGATATGTGTATTTCAATATGAATTCTACACAGTATTCATCTGGAAAGGCTTCTGTGGAAAGTGTTAGTAAAAAAGAGTGAGGTGTTCAATGCATGTCCATGAGCTGAGTGGGTACCTGCTTCTCATGTCGAGTTTTTAGCCAATCCCAGCAGCAGCAGCTGTGACATTTCACGTTCTTGATTTGGTTCACGGAGTTAACTGATAAATCAAACTCTTGCCAAATGCGTTCAGAAGGAATGTGCAAACATGTTTCCCATCCACACAGGCACAAATTCTTTCCTTTTGCTTGTTTTCCAAAAAGGAAATAGAGAGCATTTTGGCCTTTGAATCAATTTAACTGTATGATCTGGTTGAATTGTAAGTGCCGTGAGATGACATGTGTTGGGAATTGGCGATATATAAATAAACTGAATGGAATTGAAATGAGTATTCCAAATAAAAGCAGTGCAGCCATGTTTGTTTTGCTTCACATTTCTGGTTGATGTCATACACTTCAGTGCCTTTCATTGGTTCGAAACATTTCTTTATTCAAGACTAATGCATCAATTGGCTTCTGGCAAGATTTATTTTTGGGAGTTTGTGAGATCACAAATCCTTAGACAATTCATGCCAAATGTGTAACGACACAATAACAAGTCTGTAAGCAACATTATCTGGGTGGGTACAATATAAAGTACAACACGTGATAAAGGTTCAGGATACGGCTACAGTTCCATAAATTGGCCAAGAAGATACAATTATGTAATTCTCAGTAGTATATGATCACACATCACACACTAGACATGGATCTACTTTATTAGCAACAACGTCCACCTCTCCCTCTTCGGTTGTTTGAAAGAACGTGTTTATTTTGGGAAGTTTTTTACTTCCTTCAGCTCTTCTTTCCTTTTTCTTTTCTGGAATCGGCTTAAGTACCTCTTTTTGGTATGCATCGTCTCTAACACATTGTACATAATGGTTATGGTTTTAATCCACGCTCTGGATTACCCATAATTCCAAGTCATAGTGTAAAAAATAAAAATACTCAAATACATCGTTCTTTAAAGATCTTTATTGTGGTTTGAAACATGTTATATGAGTGTATTTTTTTTACCAACCGTCTAATGAGCTATACACAGTTATTAACATAGTAATTAAAAGTACCACTGTCTGCTTTGCTATTGGTTTTGTGTTTAAACGGCTCACCATCATGTTGAAATCTGCCATGTGTTGCGGGATAAATACATGCTGGTGCGGTCAGTCACTTCAGTATCAGGTGGGTTTAAGAGGATTTTTTGGCATCATTACATCTGCATACAGATGTCCTAGTCTACAATTGTGTAGGGGGCCCACCAGGTGTCATTGATGGGGCCCCTAAGAGGTCATGGGCCCGTAAGCAATTGCTGTCTCTGCTTACTGATTTTTACGCCATTGATTCTTGTTGCTTGCAAGGTAACCCTGTGTGCTGCAGTGGACAATATGACATCTATGATGTGAGTGAACTACATATGATGTGACTTACTCAAATCTTCCTCTAGGTGGCGCTGTCTGTGGCTGCAGAGTTCTGGGAGCAGGGAGACCTGGAGAGGACCGTCTTGGAACAGCAACCTATTGTAAGAATTCGGAAAGTTTTCGGCCTTCTTAGGAAAATTCCAAGGTGGCACAATTAGTGTTATTCCTCCGGGTATAACGATTTAGCTTTAATACGTTTGAATTTGAGACAACAAACATAAGGGAAAGACTTGAGACAGAGAAAAAGAGAAGGATGTAATAAGAACAGAGTACAAGAGTTAGAAACATAGACAAAATGAAAGGAGATTAAATTCCCTGTGGTAGCAGTGTTGAGCATAGAGAAGCCATTATGTGGAGCACTGATTCAGAAAGATCGGTCACTGTGGCCTTGACTCAGCTGACCATTCCTTCCTCGTTCCTCCGTTTTGTTCTCTCGTGTCCTTCAGACTCTGAATGCGTAAAGCTTCATCCCACACATTTCCACCTCAAATTTAATAGCAGCCATCAGGAGGGAAAACTTCCTTCTGATACAGTTTGCACATTTGCAATAGTGACTCACCACCGTCTGACGGGACTTTGCAGAGGCTGGGGCACTCAAGCTGCTTTTTTGTTTTGTTTTTCAGGATATGTGGGTGGTAAATTGTTCAAATTGTTCTTGCCGTTGCGTTCATGTAAATCTTGTGCCATAATATCAAATTAATTGCACATAACCTTTTATTCAACATCTTTTTTCCCCCTTTCTGGGCTTTAAAGAGCCTTTAGAATGTAAACTTCTCTTCCAGAAAAATAATAAATTGCACAAACAGTACCCCCAAAGAGAGAGTCTATCACACTGCAGAATCTCCATTTCTCTTATCTTTCTATTACTGATGCTAATTCACCTACCAACCTGCATGGCTACCATCTACTCCCAGTAAACATCAGCAGTTTAGGCTTACTGGTATATAATATGCATTGTAAAAGAGAGACATCATTAAATGTGAAAAAATCTTAATTTTATGTGTTATTAATGATGGAAAGGATTATGTTTTAAACAAGACATAACAGTCCACTAGAAATGGGTGCTACATCAGACAAATAGACCAGGACATGTCGAGTCAGAGTAGTAAGTGCAGTTTAGCATACGAGTCTTACTAAAATGATTTATATTTGATTGGAATTTGATTTATTTTAAATCTGATTTCTCGTTGAAAATTTGCGCCTATTGTAATATACTATATATGTTTTTGACCTTAGCTGCAAAAGACTAAAAGACACTCAAATTGGAATTCTTGGAATTTTTTAAAAATATTTTTTGATATTGTTTTTATATTTTTTAATACTCTCTTTTTTTTATTGCCTAAAGCATTTCTCAGAATGTTTTTACGCTGATGTTAGATTTATCTATATCTATGTAAGGTGTACAACACTGCTTAATTGATCACTGGAGATCATCCTCACTATGACCATGAACAGATATGGCCATGCATTAGAAAAGGTTTGATATGCTTTGATTGTAGTTTTGGAGCAGACAGCTAATAACAAAAATGACCATTTAGCTCTCTACTGTATGGCTAATATGTTGCACCATTATAAAAGAGACATTTGATGCAAGGATCCTGCAGTCTGTGAGTAACAACGCAGGATCCTCCTGCTTCTATGCATTCGTTATCAATCAAATCAGAAGATGGTGCTGCTCCCTCTGCTTTTCATTCACCAGCTATTTAGAAATGATATATTTTTTTGTCTTTTTGTAATTTTTGCACAACACTGTTAAAAAAATTTGTTCATGGTTCATTCATTTCTTTCCTCCTTTCTCTCCTTCAGCCCATGATGGACAGAAACAAAGCGGACGACCTACCAAAGCTGCAGTGTGGTTTCATTGACTTTGTTTGCGCTTTTGTATACAAGGTCAAACATTTTACCTTTTGAATGCAAAATAGCAAAACCTACAATTTCCTTCATTTTCTGTGTAATTTAGCATTCTAAGGATAGTTTAAAGACCTATCTGCTTTTATAGTATATTGATAAGTGAATCAATGTTTTAATTGTTCTGATGTTGCAAAGCTGCATTCATATTAGCGTGTTTTTCATTCCCTCCAACCTTCCCAGGAGTTCAGCCGTTTCCACGTGGAGATCACCCCCATGTTGGACCGTCTCCTAAACAACAGGAAGGAGTGGAACGCCCTCAAGGAGGTGCATGAGGCCAAACTGGCGGCCATTGAAGCCGAGAAGAAGGCCAAAGAGGAAGAAGCTCAGACCGCTGCAGCAGCTAAACAAGGTAGGCAAAGACTCTAAAAGGGACTAAAAAGTCCTACATACCAAGTTTAAAATTAATTTTTAGGGAGAGTATTTTAAAGGGGCTAATTTATGGGAGTAACTTACCCCTTTCTTCTTCTTTCTTTACATTTTTTTCAGCGGCAGCTGCATCCCAGTCGAAGACCTGTATTCTGAGCTAGAATGGCTCCTCTCACCCTCGCTAACCAACTGCATGTGTATGATGTATAGCAAGGGATCTCTGAGCTCACATCTGAAGAAAATCTGTCTTTCAGAGAAGTTATCTTTCCCAACTCTCCAACTTCTTCAGTTAAATTTAAATGTTTTTCTTTTCTGCTTTTACTCTCTGCACCTTTTCTCTCTTCGGCCAGAAGGTTTATTTCTGCACAACTCTTTTCTGAGAAATACAAATGAAACAGAACATAAAGGCAGCCTTTGTTATACTACAATAATATAATGCAGCATTACTCTGCCAGCATTTATGAATTGATTATAGTTGTAATGTGACAATAACCAAAACAGTACAGGCTAATGCTATTGTTTGTTTCATTTGATTAAGATATATTCTTAAATGACAAAGTTGTAGAAGTTCGACTCAAATGTCATTTATTTTGTATTAGTGACACAGCTTTTAGAATTTGGTGTAAAATAGAAATATATTTTCTGTAATTCCAGAATAAAGGTAAAAGCTTACGCAATAGTCATTTATTGAGTTTTTCTTAACCTTATAGCATTAAGGTTTCTGTTTTCTTTACATCTATATTTGGTATCTAGGAACCTATTGGCTGGAGCTATTTTAATAGCAGCGAAAAAACTAAATAAGGATTTTTGGGTAAAAGGCAAATATGTTTTTTAATCAAATATAAGTAGGAAAATAAATAGAAGCAGGAATCAAACCCAGATCATTGTCAAACAGCTAACTCTGCACACATATGAAATGAAATCTCAACAGCACCCAGTCAAAATCAAATAATTTATCATCAAAGCCATTCAACTCCAAGACATGGCCATGCATATTTTGGCATGGATTTCATGCATGAGAACCAAAATTTATCTTGAGGAATCTTGAGAAATTTCTTTAGCGTTTAGGTAATTTAGAGTACTTGAATTATGTTCAAACTAAGTCACAACACAAATCCAAGAGTTAGAATAAAAAATAATTTGCTAAAAAAATAATTTATCAAATGGTTGGACTGCAAGGTGGTGCAGCTTGTAGCACTGTTGTCTTGCAGCAAAGAAGGTTCTGGGTTTGATTTCTGGCCCGGGGTCTTTCTGCATGGATTTTGCATGTTCTCCCTGTGCATGTGTGGGTTCTCTCCAGCTTCCTCCTGCAGTCAGAAAACATGACTCTTAGGTTAACTGGCATCTCTAAATTTGACTTAGGTGTGAGTGTGAGACCAAGGTACTAGGTCTCTGTGTTGCCCTTTAATGGACTTGCAACCTGTCCAGGGTTCACCTGCCTTTCCCACATAGACTGCTAGAAATAGGTACCAGCCCCAATGTGACCCGGTCGGATTAAGCAGAAGGAGATTATTTATTCTTAACCTTTTGTGATTTGTTAAGGTAAGGACCACCTAATGGTCCTTACTTTAACTACCTAGCTGGTGAAATATAAATCTTCCTTTGGCTCCTTCTTCTGTTCTTTTTGACTTTCTGAGCTGAGGTAACGAGTAAATTTCTCCACTCTGAGATCAATAAAGTCAATCAATTAATCAATCAATAAAGCTAGTAGCTTTATAGTAGAGGGGGCTTGTCTTAAGGGACGCTATATTTTATAGCAAATAACTTTCAATCAGCTCTGTCAAACCTGTAGCATATGTTTATGTTTCTTTTGTAAAGGTGAGGTGTCTTAAACTTTTAGGAATGCTCAGCCCAGACTATTTTGCTGGATAGGTCTGTGTTCGTATGAGCTATCAACGAGGCTTTTGTCCTTTGTAGCGTCTTAAAATCTAGGTTTATGTCTGGGACCTCCAAATTAGTACCACAGACACAAAACAATTTGGTTCTGAACATGGCTGCTAGAATACTTAAAGGTATAGTGAAGGATTCCACTATACCTTTAAGTACAGTAAAAGTTTAAAAAAACAATCCACTGGACTTGGTTTCCAAGGTTCGAAGACGTTTCGCTTCCCCTCCAGGAAACTTTCTCAATTCAAATGGAATTGAGAAAGTTTGAAGTTGAATTGAGAATGAGAAACGTCTTCAAACCTTGGAAACCAAGTCCAGTGGATTGTCTTTTAAACTTTTACAGAATGACTATGACCTGGATGACTGAGAATCTTCATTGGCATATAGTGGAGGATGTTCTTTTTCTGGATGATCATCAACATAGGTGTTCCTCCTAATTGTCAATCATTCTGGTGATTTACTCAAGGCCATCCTATATGTTCGTCCACATTTTTACTTACCAGTGGTAAGTCTCACTTAGTAGAAAAATTGCAAATCTTTTGGAAAGTAAGCTTGTATGAGCGATGCAAACAGCAACTTTTAAACAGAGCGTGCACGAGGAGAAATGGGCTCATGCATGCTCTTGCACGCGTTTAATACGCGTTCCCAAGTGGAGAGGGCGGGTCTTTACAGAAATTCGCAAAAAATCCTCCACTATACCTTTAACTGGAGCAAGCGTTGAGGGACTCTCTTTGGAATCCCCCAGGCACAAAGAATGAACAAGCATCTAGCGGCTGCTTTTGTCCCCAACCACAGGGTGGCGCCGGATCGCATGTGCCTGTGGGATTCTCCTGTAAAAGGTCTTAGAGAGGTGGGGGGTTTGCAGCTCTTGGGGTTGGTACAGCAGAGCAAAACTGCATGTTCTTCCACCAATATTCAATGGTAATATCAATATGCCAATTGTTCCCCAATGTCCAAAATAAATATCATAGCTTGTGGCATTAAAGTACATTGTCCATAATGTTATACAGATGAAAAAATATTAAGCTTTATTTATCTCTTTAGAATTACAATTCTTTTCACAAGTGCTTTGAGAAAGTTTTGGACATCTTAAAACTCTCTAAAACCCATAACATATTGCTCATTTGACAGAAATAGGATAAGATGCTTTACTTAATATTTGCATATTATTAAATACAACTAAAATTGATTCTTTATTTCAGTATTTGGGAGGAACCTCCCATCCAAATGAATATAAAATGGCTAAAAACACAAAGCCAAAAAAACAGATAAGGCAACACTGCGATATTTAGCCACTAGCGGTGCTAGAGTTATAACTTCCAGGTTTAGAGCCTCTGAAGACCTCAGGCAAACACTATTAGTGATTTCTAATAGAAGACCAATCTGGACCAGCAGGTTGATGAGTCATGAAGTTCCTTGTAAAGATGTAAAGAAAAAGAAACATTAACCCCTCTAGATTAAATCTTAGATGCGAGAACCAAAAATATGTCCGATCAGGTAAGTGTCGTATCTGTTTTGTAGCCTTACAACGTTTAGCCTAGTTAGTTTTTAGGGGAGCTCAGACTGCTGTAAAGTGGTCTTCTTGGACCATTTCCGAATTCACCAGAACTTAAATAAGGACTTGTGTTCTCCCCGAGTGCCTTCTTGACAGAAACACTAGAAGTATGGACTAGGGGAGAACTGGAGCACAGAGAATAAATCTGTCAAACAACAACAGAGGAACAGAGGCTTATTTTTTTTACAGCCATATTTTCAGACCTGTGGTACTTTGAGCGCTAGTTACAGTGAGAGCTTTTCACATTTTTGTTTGTTATTTTATTCTTTTATTAGAAAGTGCATTACAGCCATTTCCAAGTAGATGTTCTGTGTATTAAGCTACTGGTATACAAAAAACTAAAAGCCATCATTTCAGGGTTATGAATCTACTGTTGTGGTATATGGAGGACCAACTCTGCCATATCTAAAAATAAATACAGAAATAAATAAAATGCTCAATAAATAAGCATTCAATTAATTGCCCCCCAAAAATACAATAAACAAATAAATGTAGGTGGAAATTAAATTATACAGTGAGACATAAATGTATATATATCTTTTAATTAGCTTCTCTATTTGTAAAAATTACATAATTTATTTATTGTCTGTTATAATCTTCAACTCTATTTATTTATTACTTATTTTTTAAAGTATTTATTTATGTGCATGCGATAATATTTGCCTCTCTAAGACACACCCTTCCTCATTTACATAATGAGGCAGAAATGCATACAGAAATGTCAAAACGACAGGCACAAATAAAGAAATAAAGAGGGTAAAAAAATACAAAGGAAGAATAAAGCAGACAAAAATATTATATCATGCACATAAATAAATACCTAAAAAATAAGCAATAAATAAAGTTGAAGATTATAACAGACAATAAATAAATAAGGTAATTATTACAAATAGAGAAGGTGATTAAAAGAGATATATACATTTATGTCTCACTGTATAATTTAATTTCTTCCTACATTTATTTGTTCATTGTATTTTGGGGGGAAATTAATTGTATGGTTATTTATTTATTGAGCGTTTATTTCTTTCTGTATTTATTTTTAAATATGGCAGATTTGGTCCTCCATAGTGGTAAACCTGCCCGTAGGAATAATAAAGACTTAAGTAAACACCAACTCCTATCTTGGTTTATAGTGTGATATTTAATGTTGCCTTGCTGGCTGCTCATAATGGGGTGAAATGCCAAACTGATGCTACTACAGTTTACACTGGCCAGTGGGGTGGCCACCCCCCTGGGAGCGCCACTGTATACAACTGCCGTTCTGCATGAAATAACATTTCTTTTTGAATATATTTTAGGTATATAAGTGAAAAATACCAAATGAGATATTTAAAACACAAACCATTGATACAAGGGCTTATTATTTTTTTCATGTCTTGATGATTTTTTGTACTTTTAAAGACATTTCCATTTTTAAATTCTTCATTTATTTGTTAGGCTCATTTTAGTTATTTTTTTTGTGATACTCTCTCTTTCCACAAGAGGGACCAAAGTTAAACACTAAGACTGACAAAAATATCTGCATTCATACTAATTAGAGTAGGCCTACAACGCTTTTCTGTCTGGTACATGTTACTGTCATTTTCTTAGCCACATCCCCGCTTTAGCTACTATACCTTTAAAACCTGAGAACCAAAAAAAGAGAAAGACAACTTACAGCTTGGATAGGTCTAGAAAGGTATTATGTGAGTTTAATAAACAAACTACATTTTTTTAATT